ATGGTGCTCTGAAGTTGCGGGAATGGAGCGCCCTTCTGTTACATGCTACCTATTACCAGATCATACGACAACATTACATTCCTAGAGATTCGAAGTGAGAACCAATACCGTATCCCAGCTATTCACAACTCACCAAGCCTCGCGCCTTGTGCCTATCTCCCTTAGATATCTGTGACACTCGACCACCGTCGTGAGATTTCACTGCTCATTCAACCCGACTTGGTCCAAGCGAACCCTCATTTCCCTGCCACGCGTGCTCCAGTCTATCACATCGCGAGGCCTCTGCTCTGCAGGGTTCTGCATAACGAATATCATGTTCGTGTCAGCGCAAGAGGCAACACATCAGGCCCATGCGGGAAGAGAACAGGGAGCACTCACCTTCCACTCAAACGATTCAGTCAGAGCCGGGAACGCTTTGTGCAATGCATCAATCAGGACATTCCACGACGGTCAGCTTCTCGACGAAACTCATGTCGACGTGCTCGAGGTCCGCCACCGAGACCAGCCTGTCGTGTCGCGACCGCGGTGGCGCGTCCAGCCCATCGCGCGTCCAGCCGATCTCCGTCGTCCGCAGCGACCGGATGGCCGCTCACTCCCGCAGGAGAGCATGCACCGCTCCGTGTACGACTCGATGAACCTGACATCGAGCTCGATGCAGATACCCTTGGACTCTAGGAGTGCGCACATGACTGGCACGACTGGGGCGTGGATGAAGAGAACGACGCGAGGGTGTCCCGCCAGAGAACGCCCTCTTCTCGCGGAAACATCTTGTCGGAGAAATGAGAAGATCCGTGTCATTCTCGCAGGAAATGACGACTTTGTTGCCCGCGAGCCCGCGAAGAATCATGTTGCATGAGATGCAGAAAATACACATTCGCTCGGTTCAGGAGGTCTCGGAGTAGGTGTGTCGGGATCGTCATGGCGACTCGCGAGTAATATGCACAGTACAGGACGGGACCTACACTCGCGGCCGCAGCATAGGCCGCGCCAAGTACTCTTTCGCCGCCTTCGCCGCCTCTTCCTCCCGCTGACCAGGCGCTCTCGGCCGCAGCGACCGATGCGTCCGCAGCCATGGCAGCTCGCTGTTGTCGAACAGCACCTGGAACGCCTCCCGCACCGGCGTGGCCGCCTGGTCGAGGGCGATCCGCCAGACGGCCTGTCCGGCGTGGAGCAGCTTGCCAGCCTGAGGCTTCACGACGAGCGGCCAGAGCGACTCCGGGAACTCCGGGTTGCGGGTGATCGGCTCCGATTTGATAGTCTCGAGAAGCTTCATGTTGACGACCGACCGACCCTGACGCTGCCAGTGCTCATCGGGAAAGAATGCGCAGATGCCGCCGCCTGTGATGCGGTGCGATGTAAGCGACAGCAGTTGAGAGGTGGTGGGTCACGCACCTAGCCATGGGGAAGAGGTGCGTTGGCCCGGCCCCGTCTTCCATGTGAGGATGTTTGTGATGGGCGGCATGAGACACAGCTTGTCGTTGGCCAGGAAGTGCCAGGAGTGCAAGCGCCGGCCGAAGTCCATGTAAAACTTCTGTCTGAAAGAGTACACGAGCGGCGGGAGACCGTGGGGCAGTTTATGGCGCTCGCGGCCGAGCTTCGCTGCAATCCTCATGGTCTGCTGCGAGACGAGGCCGTCGCGCAGGAGAATGTCCCGGAAAACCTGGTATGAGTCCTGGGATGCGACGACTACAAGCGGGATCCGCCACGTTAGACCACGATCGTCTCCTATCGGCAGGTCCCGCCCGTTGTTGAAGCCAAGCGGAGACGGGGAGTACATGACGCGGAAACGGATCTCTCCTGCGGTAGCGGGAGCTGGACCATATGGCATGTGGTAGTAGAGGTAACCCTGGAGGCCGGCAGGAAATGAGGTGCCTTCTTCTCGCCTGAAGGATGCGAAAGGACGGGTTCTCTTCGTTACATTGGTGGCAGTAGTCTGTGTTGCATGCGCGTCCCATATGAAAGCATATTCCTGTTCGGTCGGGAAACAGATGAAATCCGCCTCGGTGATCCTGTCCGTACGAAGGGTACTTATGGTCGGTTGAATGTGATGTGCATCAGGGCCCAACGCAGGCGGATTACTAGGCGCAGTCGAGTATGCGCGCCCAGACGCGAGTATTGAGCGTTGATGACGGCCATGGGGTATGTCGTGTGCACGTTGCAAGATCACAGAGGATGTAGTAGGGTTGGCCTCAATGATATTATCCACCAGGATGGCGCTGTTTGTGGACTTTATGAATCGCGTGGTCGAAACCCTTCGTGTAAGAGGTGCGCTCTGTGCAGACCAGTGAGTACTCCGCATTGTTGGAAACGCCAAGTCTGAGACAGATCGAGACCGTAGGAGAGAACTGTGTACTGCGTGGCAAGAGCTCTGACGAAAACTCGTAGTGGATGGACATCTAGCTGCTGGGAGCGGCTACACGTACGAATGACACGACACGGGCGTGGCGATTCGAGCTTCAACGGAAGAGGATCAACGTACGGATTTGCTGGACGTCCCCCGCCAACAAAGAGCGCTACGTTTCTTGGGATGGCCCACAGTCATCTTCGTCTACCCACTCCATGACCATGTCGAGTGATGTTCGAATAAAGATAGGTTATTAGGAGGAGCATGTCGCGCATCCCGAGAAACTGTGCTTTCTGTCGGCTGTCAGCCGGTGCCCTATCCATACTCTACTGAAGGACCTGAATAGCCTCACGCGTGATGACAGCTTCGCCCAACTTGACCATAGTATCGTTTCGATACTCTGCGAGAGAGAGTAGTTTACGAAAAGGAACGAAGTAGGATTGAGAGAAGGGCATATGATACTTTTGAAGATTGGTGACCATTGTTTGTATCGGTTCACGGTGCAATTGCAAAGGTGCGACGTGAAAGAGCTCAAAACATAGCGAGATACTAACCAAAAGAGAAGATCGACGCGAAGCTGGTGACTTACCGAATTACCATTTGCGTTCGAATAATTTCGGCGCATTCCAGCTTGTTTCCACACATTTCCCGGAGCGGCAAAATGCCGCAAAGCACATGAAGAGCACCGTGGACCCATCCTCTCAGTAAGTCAGGTTGAAGACGTCGTTGAGGCAGAGAGCTTCCACAAGCGTTTCCCAGAGAGATTTCAGCACAGCTAGCACAAAGTCGAGAGAGACACAGGCGATGAGGAGGAGGAGGAGGAGGAGGAGGAGAAGGAGGATGAGGAGGGTCGGTCGCGTGGTGGTCCTGGTCCAGGTGATACAGATAGACGCCTGACACTGACGAACGAGATTACTAGCGGTATGCGATCACGTGCTGCCACTGGACTTCGCGCTTTCGGCGCGTGTGGGGGAACACAACTTGAACCAGGGACCATTACCTTGTTCTCCACTTTGCTCTTCGCTATCCACCTTTTCTGAGTCTTTGAGAGTACACGCGCTGCATCTGATTCACCTCGGTCTCCCCTCTGTATCATGACGAACGTCCTTCGCATCCCGAAACTCGACCTCTCCTCCGTCCTCGCGCAGCAGAACCCGCAAATCGACCTGCGTCTGGAGGCGTTCGACATCTCCTCCCGCAACTTCCTCAAAGCCGTCTCGAACTACACGCAGCGCGCGGTATCGGAGATCACGAAGCGCAAGAACGAGTCCGCCGCCGAGAAGAAGCGGATCGCGGACAAGACGCAGCAGGTCGAGACGGAGACGAACCAGTGCAAGCTCAAGGAGATCGAACTCATCTCAGGTGCGCCCCGCGTGTGTTCAATGTGGGAGTCACGGCTGAGCGCTGACGGAGGGGTGTATGGCAAGTACTCGACAAGGAGCAGGAGGAGAAGAAGGAGAGCGAGGCGAGCGTGGCTGCGTTCCGCCGCCAGCTCGCGACGATCAAGGAGAAGTGCGCGTCGCTCGACGCCGAGATCGAGCTACATAGGAGGAACGTAGCCAATCTCATGCGAGGTACGTCTATGACCAGGTCTCCTCGCCGTCCTCATGTCTGTGGCTATGATGCGCGTACCCTCCTGGGCCGCGCTGCACATCTGGGGTTAGTAGTGAGCGGGACCGCCGTCGTTCGGAGGGCCGTGGATGCGATGGGGATGAGAAGAGGGGGCGGGAGGGCCTAATGACTTGTTTGACGGCGGAAGCGGCGGGCGTCACGGCGCCGTCTTGCTCGCGGACACGGATGTGAGCAGGCTATCTCGAAGGTGTAGTATGCGAGGTCCCCAGCAGTCCATCCGCGCTCGTCGTCCTGCGCCACTCGCCTCCCGACACGACATGCCCCACCGGGACCCTTCATGCACATGCATTCGCAGCTTATAGGAACATAGACCATATGTCCTCACATGATCTCCCCCACAGAACGCAAGCGCGAGCAGTCGATCCTCAGCAAGCACGCCGCGCGCACTTCGCCCGAGCTCGCCGCGTGCGAGGCGCGCCTCAAGTGCGCGATCGAGGGCATCGACAAGGACAAGATCCTCGTTCGCTTCACCCACCTCGACCCGGACGACCTCGCGCGCGAGTTCAGCTTCGTGCTCGACGTCTCCGCGCGTTCGTACAAGGGTGAGCCCCCTCCTTTTCTCCTTTTCTCCCTTCTCTCTTGGCCCTTCCCTCGTGGCCATCGACCCCCTCCCCATATTTCCCCTCTGGAGCCCCGCACCGCACCCTCTCCCCTCTCCCCCGGGACCTCTCGCTGACGGGACTTCCTCGTGGCGCACAGTGCCGACGACGACGCCGTACCTGCCCATCCTACCCATCCTCCTCGACGAGCTGAACGCGTCGAGAGACATCTACAGCTTCATCCGACATGTGCGCGAGGCGTTCCGCGAGCTCGCCGTGCAAGGGCGCTGAGCGGTGCTCGCTCGCTGTCTTCTCATGTACATATGCCTCCCATCTGCGACTGCTTTTGTGTCGTGCCCAGACGCACGGAGTGTTCCCTGCTATCCTTATTCCTTGCTTACTTGCCAACGTTGATTACGGTGAATACTTCGGGGGAGGCCAAGACCCAGAACAGATCTGGATCACGTTAAACGGGCTTATCATACAGCAACTTGACGCAGTGGAAGCGTGCAGGGCTCATATCTACCTTGATACCCTGAAGTCCCTGGATCGAAACCAGGAGTTGCTATCAAAGAAGATTGCAATCTTTTTTTTTGGATGATTTTACCCCGAATGTCTTCTACTCACTCCTGACTCCCTACAGAATGCTACTCACGGCCTGGCCTGGCCTCCGAGCTAGGCCTTCTACGTACGCTATCGATCGCAGAACACGGGCGTCTACTCAGGGCTTGAAGCTGAACCCACCGTTGTCACGCTGTCACGCTCAGTCGAGCGCGGTGGCCAACTTCTCCTGCACAATCCCGCCATACGTCGCGCGGCCGAGTCCAGCCAAGGATGTTCAGGATTCCTCCATCTCAAGAGACACGATCACCATGCAATGTTTCTGTTTTGCAGGGGATTTCTGCCCGGGGCACACACTGGCAGTTGTCCGCACGCCGAAGTGGACAGACTGGGAGCAAATTTGGAGACGGAGGTCGGTGGACGTGCCGGATACTACCGTATGTTCTCTTTGCTATGCGCGAACGATGGTGTATCCCTTGGTTTGCGAGCACGGCACCCAGACGACACCCGAGCGACACGCACGAACCCGATCGTTCACAGAAGCTGTGCGACCTCCCTCCTTCAAGCTTCCTTGAACACGGCTCGCGGATGCGGTAGGTAGAGTCGGTCAGCGTCTACGCGATCCAGTGGTCATGGAGGCCTACTGCACGTGTTCCCCGGAATTGTGACCGCTCTCGAAGGTGCGATTCGGGCAGCCTGAGGATGTCAGCCCCGACACGAGGATCATAAATGGTTGTTTCCGCACCACGACCAAGGTATGCACGGCGCGCGGCAGCTGCGTTTCAGCCTCGAAGCGTCGAGTCGACGCTGACGTTATGGCATCGGGCTATCCGCTCATCTGTCCCCAACTGAAGAAAGAATGCTAGGTGTACCACTGGACACGGTCTATTACAACCGCAAACAACAGGGCATCTCAGTCAATAACGTCTCCCGACCGTCCTGTCTTCGTGCCCCTGTCGCTCGTCCGGCAGGTGACCGTGCTCGACGGCGCGGAAATGCCGAACTCTGACGCGTACTACCCATCGTCACCGTCAGCCTCGAGCCTTGCCGGTCGCGACCGTACGACGGCGTCCGCTCGATCGCCACGGTCAGCTAGCCGAGTCCGAGGAGAGACCAGACCTCCGGCTTTCAAGGTGCGGGCGGTTCTGGTCAGCCGCACTTTGCCTCCGCCCTTGCGGATGGTCGATTATGTCCGCCGCTCTTCCAAGAGGCGGCACAATACCCTGGGGAGGGTGCGTTTTGCCAAAGACGGTAAGTCCAGTTGATTCCGCATGACGTGCAGTCTGCTCAGCATCGCCGTCCGGAGGCTGACTGTGCGTCGCGTATTGTGCAGCCAGCCGCGATGTGTCAGCCCCGCCGGTGTATATAGAGCCTTCGACTCCCCACTAGACGAGCCATTCGCCTCTCTTCGAACCCGTTCAGCGTATTCACCTCTACATATCTTTCTTCACAACACCGTTTCCAACATGGGCAACCAAGCACTCGACGTCAACCCTCCGAATGCCGATTACAATCTGTCCACGCATGGTTCCAGTTGGCTGTGGGCGGTGTTCAGTCTCTTCGCCGTCTCCCTTCTCGCAATAACTGCGTGGACGATCGTGGTATGCCGCTCTTCGCATACACACGGCATCCATTACATTTCTGACGTGAAACCTTTTGTCAGACTCCCCGTGGCACACGACTGTTCCACCACATCGCGATCGTCGTGATCACCACCGGTGCCATCGCGTACTTTTCCATGGCGTCCGACCTCGGTGCCACTCCCATCCCCGTCGAGTTCCGTGGCAATGGCACCCGCCAGATTTGGGTACGTTTAGCGAGTCGTAAACTACCAGTATGTGGTTAACCCCTTTGTCCGACAGTATGTCCGGTACATCCAGTGGTTCATCACCTTCCCGCTGCTGCTTCTCGAGCTACTTCTCGCGAGTGGTCTATCGCTCTCGGATATCTTCACCGCGATCTTCATGAGCATCGTCCTCGTCATCATGGGGCTCGTCGGCGCGCTGGTCACGAGCTCGTACAAGTGGGGTTATTATGTGTTCGGCCTCTTCGCGCTGGGCTACATTTGGTACGTACAGTTCTTGCCTACAGTGGAGGATCTCGCTAAAGCTTTTCGTCTTAGGTACGTCCTACTTTGGCACGGACCCCGCACGACCGTCGCCGCGGGTGGGGCGGTCAGGTCCGGACACCGCCTCTCCTCGTTCTACCTATCCTTCCTCCTCCTCCTCTACCCCATCGCCTGGGCCTGCTCACAGGGAGGGAACGTCATCTCCGTCACGTCCGAGATGATCTGGTACGGCATCCTCGACCTCCTCGCCGGCCCGGTGTTCCTCTTCTTCTTCCTCACCAAGTTGCGCGGGGCCGAACACCCCGCGTACGGCCTCCAGTCCGGCAAGTACACGGGTAATGGGGTGGGTGTCGCTCCGACCACGGCGCAAAGGAACGGTGTTGCTCCAGCCACGACCGCTGGGTCGTCCACTGGTCCCGTGGGTGCCGGTGCTCCGTTCACTACGGGTGCACCAGTCGCCGGTCCCACGGCCGTTTGAACCATCATGTCCCCAATGGTGTTGTGAACGCCACCTGTTGTATGCTTAGCTAGGTTCTGAACATGTCCTATGTACCCTTAGCGCAGTTGTATCGACACAGATCCATTTCCATAACCACATCCGCACCTTATTGAGGAGTTGCGCCGGCCCCAAAAACTTCACAATGCACCCTGCTCCCCGCCACACCGCGCGCATTCAATGCCGCACGCATATCAACCATGAACGCCTCCGGCCCGCACACATAATACTGCGCCGTCCCATCGTGCAATTTCAGTATCACCGTATCGACCTTGTCCAAGTCCAGCCGACCGCAAACGTCGTAATCCTGTCCGAGCACTTCGCCCTCAGCCGGCGCGGAATAAAACACTTTCGTCTTCACCTGCTCGGGGTGCGCCCGCGCGACAGAGGCGACGTGCGTCTTGAACGCGTGCGCGCGCCCGTTGCGTGCGGCTTGGATCCAGCTCACCGGCCGCAGCGCACCCGCGGACTGTGCGGGGCCCGTGAGCGTGTTGAGCATGGCGAGGAGCGGGGTGACGCCGACCCCAGCGGCGAGGAGGACGACGGGCGCGGATGAGTCGTCGAGGAAGAACTCGCCGAACGGGTGCGCGAGGTCGACCGTGTCGCCCTCGGCGAGCGTTGTGTGTAGGAGGTTCGACATCCACCCTGGGTGCGCCGCCGGTGTGGTGTCGAGGGAGCCGGATTGGGAGACTGTGCGTATCCCGTCTTCGCGCTTGACGGAGATGCGGTAGCACTCAGGATTAGGGGCGTCGGAGAGGGAGTATCTGCCGGTGGTGTCGAGACCATGAGCAATGAGCTGGGACCATCGAGACTCGAGAAAAGGAGACGCACTGCCTGTTCTGCATGGCTCCGAGCTCCGGGATGAACCGCTGCACAGAGATGTACTGTCCTGGGCGATACGGCGCAAGCGGCGCGCCGTCCTTCGGGCGGAAATAGAAGCTCGTGATCTCGTCGCTCTCCGCGACCTTCCGCTGCACGACGAACTCGCGCCAGCTTGTCCACGCGGCGGCTTCGTACAGCTCGCGCTCGCGGTCGATGAAGACGTGCGCGAGGTTCCAGTACGCGGCGCCCCACGCGTCGTAGAGCGCGCCCGTGAACGTGTCCGCGCCGACGACGTGCGTGATGGCGTCCATGAGGTGCGTGGCGACGATGGCGTACTGGGAGGGGAGGATGTGTATGGAGGCGTGTTTGTGAGCGATGCACTCGACGACGGGGAGGATCGGCGTGAGGTCGTCGATGTGTGATGCGTATGCGTAGATGGCGCGGGCGAGTGCCTCGGGCTGCTGTCCGCGCTGTGGAGCAATCAAGATGACTCCGGGGTGTCTGAGAGAAGAGGGATGAAAGGTGACGCACCTGCTGCTTGCTATGGCTGAACACGTTCTGCAGCTCGGGATGCGCGGCGAGCATCTGGCTGTACATGCGAGTTGTGATAGCAGTACCGTGTTCTGCAAGCATCGGAACGGTGGTCTTGATGAGCGTGCGCTGCTCTGGGGTGAGCGGGGGTGGATGCGGGAGATCTGCGCCTGTCTCGATGACCTTGTCCATGGCGTCGAGTGTCGCTGCCAGTGGTGGAAGCAGGTAGACTGAGTGTCGCTTTCTGTCGAAGGCGTGTTGTGATTCATGCTGCACCAGATCTGTAGCTTATATACTGCCTGTCGGCTATGAAACTCTCAAAATGTTCAGGCGTAGTAGAGCCACACTCGGATCACTTCTACCTCGACAGGCGTCAGTCACGACTCACGGACGATAACGGAAGGATCGACGGCCTGACCTGGGCCTGACTCACCGTCTAAACCCAGACCGCGCAGTGGTGCCAGTCTCCATCCGGGGATTGTGCATGCAGGGGGACCGGTAATAGTGGATTGTAGAGATGCAGCTGTACAACCCCCAATTACGGGCCGAGGCCGTGGGAGTCTGAGCAGTATTATTCCTTCCCCAAGTGTCGAGGTTCTCGTCAAGACGATTGCCGAGCTATTAATCGAGAGTCGAGATAGCCCACTGACATGTCCGTCCGAGCGAGCCTGGAGGATGGGTCGGAATGAGTAAGGTGGCCCTGCCGAACACGTCATATGAATGCATTCACCTCAAAGAACGACACCGGCAAGTCGAGAGCCTGCGCCGACGGACAGTTTGTGTACAACCTTTGTCCTCTTCTCCGCAGCGGTACATCATCAGCCAGCCCGCTAGTATGAGAAGACGGTCTGTCGAAGGGATTTGGATGCTTCTCACCCACGGTCATAATGTAAAGACCAATGCACGCGCGCTATGATATGTAGCGAAGAGTGAAGACGTACTCTGTCCTCTTCAGATATCACACGGGTGGCCCTCGGACATCAATTGACGCAGACTCACGGTATTTGTGATACGACGGAAGGAAATTGTGCGGAGGAGCGTGCTGCGTGTCGAAAGGGCACGACTGGAGAGGGCCGATTTCGCGGCTGTT